TTCATATATATATAACGTAAAAGAATAATTAGGATATTTTAAATACCTATCCCATATGTGTATTCACGGATTCATATTGCTTTCCTAAATCAATAAAATAAATATCAAATAACTAGATACTTTATTATTTATTTCAATTTACTCAGTGGAAACATAAATAAAGCGCCTTCATTTCATTCTTGTTCAAATATTATTCAAGAAAACGTCACTATAGATTTTTCAATAAAATGTAAATATGAATGAAACTTTGGTTTTAATAAAATCTTGACCGACTGTCTGATTGTTAAAATTAAATATGTTTTTAATATTTTGGTAGTATGAAGTATAAATTAAAATCGTTTCTAAACAAAAATTTTAAAATACTTCAAATACTAATATTTGGTCATTTTATTTTTGTAACTCAGAATTTTATCAGAAACACGTGTATAGTATACGTATTTCGCAATATGTCTTTAAACTTGATAAAGTCATGTTTGAATGATTAATAATTTTTTTTTTATTATTATTATTAATAATAAAGTAAAATTATTAAAACTCAATCAGTTTTTAAATATATACTCTTGATCATTTAAAAAACACTTAAATGAACTGTCTTGTTTCACTCGTTATCAGAATATTTTAATCGGATCAATATATTGCAAAATTTTTGCAAGTTTTATTTATATCATAATAAAATTATTTTTATCCGACTTAATCAAAAACATATACACATAAATCCTAAATAAAAGTACGCTAATCTCGAATCAAGACATTCAAATAGTATATTAAGTTATAGGCTTGTCAGCGGTGAGATGACGAACCGAAAAACTATTACAAGACTGACACAATATTATTGTAATTCGCATTCCCGTAGCCAATGTGCCGGTTTTTAATTTATTACGTAATACGATGCCAACATCGTTTGCCATTGTTTTTTGTTTTTTTATTTACCCTTCTTAGCGTTGTATTATTTATTAATTTATTTTTTATTTTTTTTTTTTTATGAGACACGTTTTATAAGCAACCAATCATTATTAATCTCTTAGCGAGGTGTCCATCACCAGCATGTAATTGAATCGCGTAGCTCGCAGCTATCATTAATTAAATCTCTACGATCTTCCAGTAAGGCGGCTACAGTAAAGAGCGTACAAGAAATTATTCGGATAAAAGAATGTATATTCATGGTAGTGTTTTGGGACTTACAGTAAAAAACTCTGAACCGAATCCATAAACGATTATTATTGCTACGTAACGGCGGTCTTCAAAGTGTATTATAGTAATATACGTGTGTGTATGTCGGTTCGTAAAATATTGTTTAAACAATCAGCTCTCGGGAAATCACCCACGCGAATCGTTTCAAGCTTATTCTCTCCCTCTCTCTCTCACTCTCTCTCACTCTTTCACTCTCTCTTCGCATACTCCCGGCGTACCCTCGACGACGACGCTCCGGTGACCACGGAAGTATCTATTATTTTGTATTTGACATCCAAGCTTTCAACTAGATCTAAAGCAACGAACTACAGACGCTGCCGATAGTCTATCGTGGCAGCGCGTACAGACCGGTTAAAAAATTCGCGTTATCGATACATTTAGAAAGTCATAAAAATGATAGAGGATTTTCGATTGCTCTGTATACAAAAAAAAAAAAATGACAGGTGCATTACATAGAATGAAAGGTATATTATTATCTGCACATGAATTTTATGTCTTTCGGGAGTCAACGTTGTAAACGAGTTATGTCTGTCGGCGGAACAATAACACTTTTAAGTCACGACGTAAAACGCTCGTCTTCTTTGCCGTCGGCGTTCTCTTTTTGCGGCGATTGTTTCCATTCGCTCGTCTTCTCCCTATTGTTTTTTTCATATTTTTTATTTCAAAGTTCTTTGAAATAACGCGAATTTTTTTCTCACTGCGTATCACAAATATCACTACTCTAGTTGTGATGCAGAAGTTTTTGTATATAAATATTGGTCATAACTCGATCGAGATAATAAAAATATTGTAATATAACGCGTAATTAATGATTATATTATGACAATTAATTGTAGTATGTTCATAAGATTTAAAACTAAAGTGGAATTTATGCGTTAAAACAATAAAATAATTTACAGCTAAATAATTGCACAATTCAATAAAATAAATTCGTATCTATATTGCCTATACATTTCGCCGTGTTTAAATATTACGTCAATTTATAATCATCGTCTAAGATAACTCATATTCAAATGTTTCTGAACAAACCTAGGTTTACTATAATATTATTATAAAAGTTTTTCTATACCCAAAGTCTTAAAGAATATTATCGTTCATTAAAATTTGTAGCTAACCACAAAAATTATAAAAAGATCATCATATTTTCATTGTCCTTTATCACAATAACTAATCAAATATAAATGGTAACATTTCAACTTTATTGGCTTAGTAATATTTTAAAACACAACCAAATAGTTCGATATTTTAGTAAAAATGTCTATTCGTTGAAAGAATATTAAACATTACCTACAAAGGGAAAGTTTTGAAATAGTAACTTTCATTTTAGAAAAGATATATTTCTTTGTGAATAAAAAGTAGAGATGAAAATATTTTTTATGAGTCATCCAAAATGAACGAATAAAAGTTTTTCATTTGATTGAATTAATTTTTACACTTCATTCATAATGTAATGGAAATCGTTTGATATAATATTGCGTATACGGTTAATATTTTATTACTGGGTTTGAGGAAATAGCTAAATCGCTTATCAACGTTTTTATGTCTTTTAGCACACGTATTCTATTAAATATTCAGTAATATATTTTTACTCCCACGTTTAGTATAAAAAAAAAATTAAATGTATTTACATGATACTTTTTAATTAAAATTTAATTAGCATAATACTACAAAAACTAGCCAATTTTAGTGTCGTTTACATTTCAAGTATTAGATAGATAAGAATTAAATTGTATAAAACAATATTTTTGCATGAAAAATAAAATAACTTTAGTGACTATAATAATTTGTAACAAAATAACAAATTATTTAAAATATTTTATAAATTTAATTATTTCAGATGTGTATAATTATACAGTATAAATACTGTAAATAATATAAAATAAGAAATATAAATTTTCAGAATTTAAGATAAAAAATATGGTTGCTAAAGAGAAATCGTAGTTTGAATTAAACTGTATTACCGAGTCTAAATTCAAAGTAGTTTAAAATATATAACAGCTATGATTTCTTATATAAGTACACACGTATGTTTCCAATTTAATTCGATAAAACTATTTACATACCTTCATGTACTAACGATCGTTTTTTATAAGATACTTCTAACTTAAGTTCATATTTATATGTAGATATATGTTTAAGCCAATATCACCAGCAATGAAAGATATTTTTCCCATTTATATTCATGAAACATCAAACATCATTTAACTCGATTTCCATTGAGATGACATACTAAGTTTGCATTTCAGAAATATTATAAAATGTTTATATCTTTTGTTTGGGTACTTCAAAATGAACATTAAATTTCATGACAATTGTACACTTTGTCTGTTTTTATGTAAGTGAGTCGAATTTAAGAAAAACCAAAACTTCGTGATAAATTTACTTGTAAATTATTCAATATGCAAAATAAAAACAAGAAGAACTATGTATTATTTAACGTGTACATAAATTGTATTAAATATAATTTAAAATAAAATAAAAATTTAGAAGCTAACGTCTAATTCGTATACAACAATATGTAACATAACTTTTTTATTCAGTCTATTAATAGTAATAGTCGAAATTAAACAAAATGTGTAGAATATTTTATTTTAGAGGACGAATATACATTTAACATACATTATAATATTATAAAATATATTTGTTTAAAAATAGTAAAAGTATATCTTTTTTAACTATGTGGAATACAAATAAATTAATAAAATTAAATAAATATCATATTATGTTCACTTGATCTATTGCAATAATTACTTAACCTTAAAGCCTTTACTTAAAATGAATTAGTACTGTGTGATTTTAACCAGTCATACATTAATATTATGAATACTTATTAGTTATTATCTTTTCTTTACTATTTGCGTCTATAATATATTTATATAAGTAGATACCACTGGAATCACAGCTCACATTAATAACTCCTAATATAGAATAAATAAACGATTTAGAAACGTGCATATTAAACTTGTTTTTAAATTAACAATACTTACTAACATAAAACGATTTGAAAAATTTTACAATTATTTTGGTTAATATTTCTCGTTGAACTAATTATTGAGCATATCAAATTATTAAGATGCTCAATTTTCATTTTATGATGAATTTTTCCAAATTCTGATTTCCACTGTATTTTACTTAAAATTGTTAAAAAACGAGTTTTTTAAAACAATGTATTAATATAATGTTTAAATTAAAATAAAAGCTAGTATTTTTAAGTTATATAACTAAGAATAATAGATACATGACTATATGTATAAGATACACGATGAACTTCAAAATTGAAGTAATTATAATACTGATTAATTTTGTAATTTATAAAAATAAGCCAAGTGTAATAAATACTACATCTGAAAATAGAGTTATTTTATATTCTTTTAAAACCATTTTTAAAGATTATTATCCTTAACATAAATATTCAATATCTAATTGAAAAATTACTTATTCGTGTTTTGAATCAGGCGCAACACAATTTTGAGAAAAATTATCAGCTAAATAACTTACAATACAAGGGGATGTAGCTTTATATCAACACAATACACTCGCTAAGTAGTATACAAAATCTTAATTATTTTAAAATATGTTATTAAGGTATATTTGAAACTTTCAAAAATCAGAATTTTAATTAATTCATTACTAAATACAAAAAAAAAAAAATGAGTATAAAGGTGTTTGATGAATCAACCTATGTAAAATAAAATTAATTGTGCCGGAGTTCTCTTTAACGTTACACACGTCATTTACGATGAAAATGAGTATTCAGCTCGTAAATTATTATTTTTATGAGTTATAGTATCAAAATTTTAAATACTTACGTTCTCAGTATCCATGATGTTGCAGCACTGGCCTACGGACGTAATACGCTGATGCGGGTTGATCATCACTGTGTCGGCTGGCGACGGCACCGCCCATGATTCGCAATATCCTCTACATGCATTGGTCGTGATAGGAAATTCCACGCAGTTAGGTATGCTGATCTTTCTCGTGTGACCTATCAATAATTACAATAAATAATAATAAAGGGATTCAATGACGTTTAACTAATGTATGTTTAATATAAAGGACGACGACTGTTTGTGGTTAAACTAGCCAAGATTGTTTAGCGTGGTATGGGGATATAATGATAACTTTGACATAATATCGACCGTCCAGAATTAGGTATATGGTATTGAAAAAAATCGAGTTTTGTGTTTCTATAATAAAATATTATTACCAATTTACTTATAATATAAATAAAACCGTTCTTTCCATCGTTCGACTAAACACAGCAAATGGTTTTATTTCCTTACAATTTTTGTTTTATAAACTACAAACAGTAACATAATAGCATAGATATTTAATTATTTACATCTATTCTCTAGTTGCCTTATAATTTTTTAACCAAACAATGTGTACGTGCGATACTGCGATATAATGGTCTCTCACGTTGTACCCACATAATATGTATAAGTACATAAAATCAAAATTTGATTTTCTGTGCTTCTCAATATATGGAGGGGAGATCGTAAGAATTCTAACGGTGAGCTATAAGTTATGAATGGAGGATTTAACTTAACAACAGTTTGGCCGATGTATAAATGCCAGTGGGGAACCTCGATTAAAGGTTGTTCTGGCCACCCACCTAACAACAATTTAATATTGGTGAATTTTAATAAAGTGTATAATTATATTAGGGTGTTAATTAGTCAAACACCACCAGCAAAGTTCACTCAATTTTCAGACTATATTATTACATCTTAAACTCACTACACGAAACTTCGGATGATACGATCGTGATGTCTGTAATGGCGACGGTGGAAGTAGCGCGTCTGTATAAACTTACGATATATTTTAGAAACACACATAGGCATATATATATAAATATATATATATATTTATTTATTTGTATAAATATGGTAATGTTGTTATTGTATGTGATAGACGTCATCATTTATCAAACGACTCGGTGATAGTAATATTATCATAATATCATATTACATTTATGGTCCGTATACTATTTACATGAAATTTGATAGTATTATATAGGTACTATTATTTTTATACAATCTAAAAAATATGCGATTATGAAAAAAAAAAATTAAAAATATTACCATCGTAATTTATAACTACCATTTGACAAATGAAACGAAATTTGATAAACAAACTTTAACAATTCTCGATTCGTTTATGTATTGATAACATGGAAAAAATATGATAATTATTAATTTATATATCTATTAAAATTCAATATAAATTGTATTATAGTTTTTTACAAAATCGATTTATTATAATACAGCGTATTCGTAATAAAATATAGTCAACGTTTTTAAAATGAAACGGCTTTAAGAGATAATTGTATATCGTTATCGATAACCACCACCACCACTACCTATTTGAAACTAAGTTAATATTAATATAAATAATCAGTCCTACGCATGATATTTTCATTAATAATTGACTCACAGAACAATATAAAACATGAATATTTTTCGGTTAATTATCTAAAAATAATAAAACCTTCAGTAGTAAACGTTTTTTAAGTACACGGGTGTACACGAAATTTTTATATTATTTATTATATGAATTATTATAACAGAAAAATGCACATGTTTCGGTCTGCGTCATAAATTGTGTCAGTAAATTTACATCACAAGAAAAACACGACGTGGGATGTCGTCGACACTCGTTGTTATAGTTACGTGTACAACGTGCAAATTATACTAGTCCTAGATGTTAGGCGATGACTTTAAAAAATGCGTTAGCCAAAAAAACTTATATTGCACGTGATGGAGTTTTCTCATTTGGATAAAACTGATAAAATAAATAGAAATGATAAATTCGAAAACTAATATTATTATAATGAATAAGAAAGTGAATATAACGGTATAATATATAGCTTTACAAAAATATAAATATAATATGGTATTATAAATACAAAAGAGTAAAAATAAATAAGAACAAATGTTGTAAAAACGACTGGTATTTATGACGTCAATCGGCAAGTAGGTCACCGGATTAATCGTCACAATTAAAATAAACAAATAAACGGAAGACAGAGGACTTTTAAGGACTGATAGAATGATAGAAAAATGTCCACAGTAATAGCGCTGTGTGAGTTGTAGTGGTTGTACAACTATAGAGAAGATATCGATCGATAGCTCGTACATGTCATTTTTAGTAGGCGTAATGGTGTGGATCATTGAATATCGCACATTTATCGTAGAGGAGTATATTCGTAATGGTGGTTCTGCAATTTCTACTCAGCGAGCATTCGCATTCGGTTCCAACTTGACCGCCATGATTTTGTTCCGGATAGAACGGATAGAAAAACAATGCTCATTCAGGTGTCTAACTTTAGAGCAACGTGTTTTGCACCGAAGAATAAAACTGTTTGACCGACCATTGAGCATAACAACACCGAAAAATGTGACACATGTGAGAGCGTCTATACAGCAATTCCCAAGGCGTTCAGAAGTTAAACATTCAGCTGCCCTGGGACTTTCTGATAAGGGTATAAGATGAATCCAGCACAGAGATCTTCATATTATGCACCCATAAAAATTGATAATTCACAAGAACTACATGTTAGAGATTTTCAAAAAAAAATGCGCAATCTTCAATGATCCACACCATTACGCCAACACACACTGCGCAATCTTTAAATACGGGAGGATTTTTTGCCGAATCCTATATAATACTGTTCTAAATATTTTAACACAAAAAATAAAATATATAGATATTGAAAAATGAACAGTAAATTATTTTTTCTGACAAGAATTTAAATCTTAGATGATGAGCCCCCAAATATTTGTGCACGAATTGTGTATATGGTACCAGTGGTCTTAAAACTATTTATTATATTATTATTGTTCTTGTTATTGATATGCCGTGTACTCACCTACTTTATGGCAACCTGGTTTCTGCCAAGTATTTGAACCAGTCGCCAACGGAGACGGCAGAACCGCCAAAAAGAATATCAAGATCATTACAGCATTTTTCCACCACCGGAATTCGTCCATAGCTCAAGTAAGTCTTTAGACTTGATCTAAAAACCAAAATTTGTTTTACTAATTATTATTATTATTATTATTATTATTATTATCATTGCTGTTGTCGTTTTTATAATTATTCTCTTGAGTTCTACAATATGTTAATATACTATTAAAAACAATTTATATAATGTCATTAGTATTTACAATATTTTTTTTTTAAATATATTTTAATACATTTCAACAGATTTAATGACACGATAACGTGCAATGTATGAAGGACACAATCAATACTCATACTTAACTTCTATTACACATAAATATACTACGTATATGTATGTATTATTATTCTGCACTCCTATAATGGAATAAGCAGTAAATACCTAAATTTAAAAATTGAGGTTATTTCATATTCATTATAATTGCATAGGTAGTCCTGTATTTTTTTCCTTGCAAATGCATTATAAAATGTCATATCAACCAAAATATCGCCAAATACTAGAGTAAAACACAGTATGGAAATACTGACTGCTTAATGTATTACTAAAATAATTTCTTGATGTACTCATTCATACCTGTTGCATATTTACTTATTAGTTATTAATTTTAGCTAAATTAGATTTTCAGTATGTACACTTAATCTTTTATCTATGAATGGTCGTCATACAAAGCATACACATCATATATCAAAATTCTTGGTTAAAACATTTATCAAGATTTATTAGATACCTTGATACTAACTACTAAATTATAAAAATTATGTGTTAATCATTCTAATCATTCCACTAATACTTGTATTATTATTCGTAAATGAGATATTGTTATATGCATTTTTTTTATAAATAGTTTAAATTATTTTTATATGATATAAGTCCATTTAAAAGACAGAAATATTTAAATATTTAAAAAAAAAAATTATTATTTAGGTTTTATATTTTAAATATTTTAATTTACTAAAATAGATATATCAAATGCAATTAACATTATTTTATTTTGTTTATTAGCATGATATTTCAATAGGTGGTGCATTATATTTAAAACCAGGTAGGTAATAGGTTTAAATTTAATTTTCAATGTTGTGTAATACCACTTATACTAAATTTAAATTCATATAAATATGTATCATAATAAAAATTATTTTCATGAAGATACTGCATTTTATAAAGTTTATTTTTCTATCAATACACATTAATACTAAATGAAATTAAAAAAAAACGTCATCGCTTCAAAAATAATAAACTAAATACAAAACGAAAAATTTCAAATAATTAAGGATGCCTATGGCATTAATAAATAAAAAAAATTGGATAAAAAATAATGATTACATAATGGTGAGAAACAAAAAATAATGAAGAACTCATTTTTCCAACAATTCAGTTATTGGATATTATACTGCTTTTTCCATTAGAAAACCAATATTATTATATCAACAATCAACATTGTCACATAATTGATTTTTCTATATTCTGTCAAATACAATTCACAGTAGAGTTCACGTTAGAGTCATAAAACTTCCTTGTAGACGTTAATTTTCATATACGTATATATATATATATATATTTATATTATATTGAAGTCAGTTATTTAAATATACAATGAGTGCAAACTATAAATTGTATGTAACAAAAATCACGAGGAAATGATTAGGTATAGATAATTTTGAATAATATTATGCTAACTATATTTGCTGCAAATATGGTAACCATGAGATAAGTCACACGAGATAAGAGCACAAAACGTATTTTTCGTTACTCTTTTTTTAAATTTTTGTTATCATTCATAGCTAAACAAAATCCGTCCATAATAAAACATGACTCCGGTATTCCACCAAAAATTTACGTAGACCACACCGACGTTCGGGCCATCGGACAACAGATAAATTTATATTAATTCGGTTTAGGCAGGCATTTCGACGATAATAATATAAACATAATTTATATAATCATTAATCTATGTACTCATTAATAATTGCCCTCTATACTCGAATTTTATTTCGACGTACCATACATGGTCAATAAATTATTCAAACATAAAAAATTAATTGCATGGTGAAAATTAAAACGTTAGTTCTTAAAATTACATTTCTTTTTACGATAAAATCGCACTTTAATACTTTTAACGTTAAAAGTTTTAATTGTGTACTCAAACTCCAATTCTCTTAATGGATCCTATGAAAACTAATATAAACGATTATATACTACAAAATACTAAACCAGTAAACCACATAAACTGTTAAAAGAAACAAGGCGCGTAAGTGCATGCATGTGTATACGTATATGTGTGTGTATGGTTAAAAAACTTCAATTCTATTTTCTATATTTTTAAGTTTCTATAACTAATAGATATTTTATGATTAATCTGATATTATATAAGAATTTTAAAAAATGTATTTATTTTTAACTCCAATAATTTAGATATTTTCATGATTTTGACCAATTTTTTTAAAAATTTAAACTGTTCCGCAAATCATTTTACAAATATTATGTGGATATATTTATGACATTCATATTTTATTATCGAAACCATTATAATTTATCGCATTGACTGCGAGAAAAAAAAATAAAATAAATTTTTATAATACCGTTTTATTTAACTTATATAGCACGGTAACATACGTACGTTCGCCGTTCTATTCGTGCATACTATTCAATTTTATTTGTATTACAAAATCAAACTTTGTACAGAATGCGTTCGACAGAATTTTATCAATTTATAGCTTCTCGTGATTGGCAACATCATATTAATAATATAAATTAGATTTTGAACGGTATTGAAATGTATATAACCTTTTTAAAAATGCGGTCATCAAATAAACCATACAATTAATTTTAATCGAAATTTTCACGCACACATTTTTTAATTTAAGTACATGTAACATTTCACTACGCTCTATGTAATGTTATTCGTGAGTAATCAGTTATTTACTTATATATAAGTGATTTGTCTGTGGCATCACTAAATTTAAGTTTTAAGTATCAATATCACTCCAAGGATTCTAAAACTTATAAAGAAAAAAGTGTAATAATTAATCACGCTAATTATAATACCCTTTTACATAATTAGTGAGTATGATATCAATAAGTTAGTTTTTAATATTTAGTATATTATTGCTTATTGCATTACCTATAATATTATTCTTCAATGTATTATAGAAAGCAAGAGGTTAAAATTATCAGTGGTCTGTTGTGGCTGCACTATTCCAAAAGTGTTCCATGTTTTAAATTAAGTTGAAAACCATACACTACACTAAAAGAACATAACACAATTATGAAAAATATTGATGGTAAAAATATGTCGTCAAAAAAATATTTTTGATAAAAAAATAAATATATAATGGGCAATTTATATACCTGCAACATGTATATTACCCTCTGGGGATATTTACCTCTTTTCCTATCCCCGAAGTGAATGAGATAATTTAACATAGACCAAAAATTGTACTACTAATAAAAATATTCGAATAAATTCAACCCACAAAATGTGAAAAAGGTTCAATGATTTTTGAATCCAGCAGCCACTGATACCATTGTATAAATGTATTAAATAAATGCGAACAAAATACATATTACAACACTATTATTATAGAAATAATATTATATTCAATATAATAGCTAATCGATGAACAACATCTATTTCGGTGAACGAAATGACTGATTCACTGACCATTTGTACAATAACAATATGAATAATTATGGAAGTCGTAAAATTATTATTTGTTTACTAAAGAAAATTCCGATTACTATTGTGATCACTGACTACCGAAACAGATTATTTCTATTGAAATCACAACATAAAAATAAAAATAATAAACGAATATTTTTGTAATATTAAATTATCTTAATATGCATATTAAAATCACTGTGACGATTTTAATAGTTTTAAATAATCTAAACCAGATTTTATTCAGCTGGTTAATATAATAAAATAACCGTGAAATAAAAATAAGTAACATATTTATAATATTAAAATTCGATTATTTCTTGAAAACCTAATATAAAAATATAAGTTTAAGAAGTCCTGAGTCATGGATTTTTCATACCATATTATCTTTATAGACGTATTTTCTCCATTTATAATGAAGATTTTTCTCTACGGTTATCTACATGCAAAAATTAAAATTTATTTCTCATTATTTTTATTTTTTTTCTGCGTTATACATATAATAGTAAAATATGAAAATTATGGTCGTTCTCTTCCGCAGTTTTTAGTCGGTTAATACACTTTCGTTATAGAAATAATTTTAACATCGGGAATTAATAATTTAAAGCAATATATCTTTAGGAGTCCCTTCGGTTTTATTCGCTTCATAGTCGAGTGCATTAGAGAGTTATATGAAAACTTTGAAGTTACAGTATAAATAATATTTATATAGAGGTTTGAAGAAAATTGAACACAAAATTAATCAGAACTCTATTTTTAATTTTTGAAACTCATTCTTATATGATTTAATCTATCAACAGCTATTAAAATAAAAACCAAATTCATATGACCATCTATTGAGTTCCTAAAAAATGTCAAATAGATATCATATGATTAATATGTTTTAAAATACATGGTAAACATTAATAACTAATAATAATGTATTAATTTAATTATGTAATATTATTATTGACGTATTGGAAATACTATCAAAAAAGTGTCTTCTCTAAATGTCTTAAAACATATATAAAAATTTGTTAAACGCAGTTTCATCGTCCGATCTACGGCATGTATCTGTGTGTACATAAATAATATTTATATGATACTTGTTTATCATATTTACATGCCAAAACAACAACAAACGATTACCGACTGAAATGGCTATGCACGATTAACAATCATCAAAGATATAGATTTACCAGATTTATCTTTAAAAATTGTTTTTCATCTATCCACGATATCATCGAAAAAATAGTATTATCTTTGAAATGGTTATGGCTTTTCGCCGTTGATATGAAAACCGAGTGCACGCATGTATGGGCGCGCGGAAGCTAGAAATAATTACGTTTATGGTTTACTTTGCCGCGAATAATAATGCGTAATCCAATCACACTGTGTTAGTGCAGCCACGCTTAAA